GAGGAGGAGGAGGAGGAGGAGGAGGAGGAGAAGGAGAAGGAGAAGAAGAAGAAGAAGAAGAAGAAGAAGAAGAAGAAGAAGAAGAAGAAATAGGTCTCAGTGACCTTGTGTTAGACAGCAGTTTCCTTTCTATGACCAAACACACAAACAGCAAAAGAAGAAACAGAAGCACCGTTCCATGGGCTTGGTCTCAGGCTGCATAAAAAAAGAGAAAGGGAGCTGAGCACCAGCATTCATATCTCTGCTTCCTGACTGTGAATGGATGTGACCAGCTGCCTCACCGTCATGCCGTCTGCCATCTTGCCTTTCCCGCCAGGAGCCTCAAACCCAGAGGCAAAAAAAAACCTCTTCCTTAAGTTGGCTTTGACAGATATTCTGCCACAACAATGAGAAAAGTAACTAACACGATATTTGTACTAAAAGGGGAAGTCCAAGCATTGTATTAGCAGGAGATTGCTCCGATTTGTTGAGGAAAAGGGAATTGAAAGCCATATTTGTGAATCTGTCATGCTCCTTTCTTTGGCTAGCAGACTACTGAGACAATGGACCTGAGAAATGAGAATTTCCCCAGAAATACGCTGGGAGAAGAAAAGATTGAATTGGTAGAACAACCAGAAGAGGGTTTTGTTTCCTGAAGAAAGGTGTACACCTTGTCAAAGGACCTTGTAGGAAAGATTTAGGAGCTGAGAGAATGGTGGGCCAAGGGCCCCACACATGGATCAGGACTGCTTAGTTATGCATACCAGCATCCTCTAAACCTCAGCCTCACATCAGGACCCTGAAGATGGACTTGGGGCAGGGCATCTCTGGATCTCTCTGTCCCTTTTCCCAATGTAACCATGTTGGATAAATCTCCTCCTTTCTGCTTATTAATTTGTCTCTTGAAAAAGATTTGTTTTCATATTATTTATGTGTAAATGTGTCTGTGTATGCATGTGCTCTCTCTGTCTCTGTCTCTCTCGTGGTATGCACACAGGAGTCTCTGGGGTTGTAGTTACGGGTTGTTGTGAGCTGTCTGACGGGGTGCTCAGAATCAAATGGGTCCTCTGCAAGAGCAGCCGTTCTAACCACTGAGCCATGTCTCTAGCCCCTTTACTTGACTCTTTTAACTAGCTTATGAAGGATGGGTAGCCAAGTCTGGCTTGTTGGGACTCAGGCAGTGACTCTAAATTCAGTAATATCCTCTAGGCATGTAAGCACCCAGTACCCAGAGTGTTTCACTTCTCCACCCAAATGGTAAATAGAGACCACAAAATGGGCTGAACTTCCAGTATCTGTTTGCCATGCTCTCTGTAATTCTGTATGTGTGTGATAGGAATGGAAGAGGATGGGATCCTTTCAAGGACAAGATTTCTTTTTAAAAGGAACCTGTGACAACTGGCTGTTGTTGCAACCAATAGCTACCTTTGCCCTGTCAGAAGAGGAAAGTCTCTGTTGTCATAAATCCTCTGAAATCCCCCAAAGGAAATCTGAATTTGTCTTGAGGGGATTGATGACCAGGAAATTTCATCCATGTATTTACCCATATGTAGAAACTTGTGTGCTGGTGGGATGTTCTGTTTGTCCTGTGGGAGCCCATTCTTGGGTTCCTCATGGCTTTACCCAGCAGGTCTGCATAGAGGATGATTAGGACCACTGGCCTGAGTAGTGCAGGTGTCTGAGATGGTCTGCACTTGGCTGTGCTGGGGTATGGTCTGTATGTCAAGTTGCTCTGATTGGTCAATAAATAAAACACTGATTGGCCGTGGCTAGGCAGGAAGTATAGGCAGGACTAACAGAGAGGAGAAAAGAAAGATCAGGAAGGCAAAAGGGGTCACTGCCAGCCGCTGCCAGGACAAGCAGCATGTGAATATGCCAGTAAGCCACAAGCCACGTGGCAAGGTATAGATTTATGGAAATGGATTTATTTAAGATATAAGAACAGTTAGCAAGAAGCCTGCCACGGCCATACAGTTTGTAAGCAATATAAGTCTCTGTGTTTACTTGGTTGGGTCTGAGCGGCTGTGGGACTGGCAGGTGACAAAGATTTGTCCTGACTGTGGGCAAGGCAGGAAAACTCTAGCTACACTTGTGTTTTTACATCCAAGGTCAGTGAAAACACATCCGTACAACAATGGATCCATGTACTTTTGTGCCAGCATTTGTTATCATAGCCAAAAAGTGGAACCAGGACTGGTGAGGTGGCTTAGCAGTTCAGAGAGCTTGCTGCTCAATCATGGGAGCCTGAGTCTGCATCCCAGCATCCACAGCCAGTGGCTTACAGTGACCTGTAGATTCAGCTCCAAAGGTTCTAATGCCCTCTTCTGGCCTCCGTGGGCACTGCATGCACATGATGCACATACATGAAGACAAAGCACCCATACACTTTTATAATGACCAATCTTGGCTGTTAACTTGACTACATCTGGAATCAACTAAAACTCAAGAAGTTGAACATTCCCATGAAGAATTTACTTGATTGGATCATTTGAGGATAGGGAGACCCACCCTAAATCTGGGCCACACCTCCTGGTGGCAGCCCACATAAAAGAACATGAAGGAAACTTGCTTTTTTTTTTTTTCTTTTCTGTTTTCCCTCACTGTCACTGGCATGTTCACCTGTCTTGTTGGTAAGCATTCCTTTGCTGATGTTAGAACCTACTTTTTCATGATTCCAGCATATATCAAAGACCAGCATCTCTTCAGAAACCTTCCAGGACTCCAGCACCAGATTGGGGCTGCAGAGACATCCAATCTCATGAACTAGACAACTATCAGATTCTTGCCTTTCCACTGGGAGACTGCTGTTGTTGGAATATCTGGACCACAGCCTGTAAGTCATTCTAATAAATTCCCTTTTAATATATATTAATATATACTCATTCTATCAGTTCTATTCCCTTAGAGAATCTAATGTACATCTAAAAATAAAGTAATATGCTGGGTGGTGGTGGTGCATGCCTTTAATCCCAGCACTAGGGAAGCAGAGGCAGGCAGATCTCTGAGTTTAAGGCAAGCCTGGTCTACAGATCGAGTTCCAGGACAGCAAGGGCTACACATAGAAATCCTATCTCAAAACAAAATACCCATCAAGTGGCAAATGTATCAACATGACATTGTCCAGACTGCAGAGTGTAACGGAACCATTAAAATCAAGGAAGCCATGATACGTACTATAGCTCTGATGAGCCTTGAAAATGCTGAGTCAGGTATGGTGACACATGCCTGTAACCTAGAAGACAGAGGCAAGAGGATCTCCATAAGTTCCATGCCAACCAGGACTATAAAGTAAGACCCCCGTCTCAAAACAAAGTCCTTAAATGTTTTGTTAATGAAAGAGGGAGGCCCGGTGTGAAAGACCACGTATTCAACACTTTATTTTAAAGTGCTGAGGAAAGTCAGGTGCAAGCCTTTGATCCCAGAGCACTTGAGAGGCAGAGGCAGGCAGTTCTCTGTGAGTTCGAAGCCAGCCTTGTCTACATAGAGTTTCAGGATAGCCAGAGCTTCACAGAGAGACCCTGTCTCAAAAAAAAAAAAAATTAAAGTGCTGAGAGTATGTAAATTAATAATAGTAGAATGACAGAGATAGAAGGGAGATTTGCTTTTGCTGGAGCTTGGAGGGTGGTGCTAATGGTACCCAAGAGACCTCACCCTATCTTTGGGGTATGAAAGTGATCTAAGACTAGGCAATAGTTCGGGCTGCACACATCTCCCTACTGAGAACATGGACTCCAGTCTGTCCATGGAAAGCTTTTGTGGTAGATAATTTGTGGCTGCACAAGATATAAAATATCTCAAAATCCAGCTCAGGCGGGCCTCCACAGCAGGTGGCTGGTCTGAGAAAGGAGGTGCAGAAACAGGAGTGTGTGCCTTGGGGTTGATTTAGGGAGCATACTTGGAGTTCTCTAGCTGGTCCTGTCTGAGTTCAGGGACCCAGACTTTCCCTACTGTGGCCTGATGCTTAGGGCTTATTACCTAGAGGTTAGGCTCTCCTTTCAAGGGTTCCAAATCCTAGAGTCCTGTGTAGACATTATCTCTTTGGGGGAATGCCTTAGTTAGCTTTAACTGTCAACTTGACACAGCCTGGAGTCAGGTGAGAAAGGTATCTCAATTGAGGGACTGTCTAGATCAGATTGGCCTGTGGGCATGTCTATGGGGGATTGTCTTGATTGTTAAATGATGTAGGAGAGCCCATCCCATTGTGGGTGGCACCATTCTCTAGGCAGGTAGTCCTGGGATATATAACAAAGCCAGCCAAGCATCAGTCTGCAAACAAACCAGCAAGCAACATTACTCCATGGATTCTGCTTCAAGTTCCTGTCCTCCTTTCTCTCAATGATAGACTGTAATCCAGACATATGAGCCAAGTAAACAATTTCTTCCCCTGACTTTCCCTAGGTTTTCGATCGTGGTGTTTTATCACAGCAACAGAAAACAAATTAGAACAGGAAGTCATTTCTCATTCTGGTCATCACATTTAGCAGATCAGGAGAGCGCTGGGGCGAGAGGGAGCAGACAGAAAATAAGAGGGCCTGTCACCAAGTTAGGGGACTTGGGAGGAACCAGAAGGTGATGAGAAAAGGATGATCTCTGCCCTGCAGTGGTGGCTGTGTGGTTAAGCAGAGACATAACTGAGGCTTGTGCTGGACACTTGGTCAGCATGTAGACAAAGCCCCCAGGCCATGGGAAGGAAGTGAGAGGAAAGGCTAGAGTCTGAGCCTGGGCCTGGGGACCCTGGAGGGTCAGGCTGTGCTTTTAAGTGTTCTCTGTGGTGGAAGGAGAACCAGCAGGGGGTCAGGGAAACCCACAAGGGCAGCAGTGCAGGTCCAGGAAGAGCTGCCAGCGGCTGGCCTGTGGACAGAGATCGTCAAGAGGTCACCAGCAAGGGAGACTTTCCTGCTTCAGGGACAACAAACAGTCCCAACTTGTATGGTTTTCAAAAGACCGAGGCCGTCAAGACTTCAGAGTCAGGAGGAAAAGGGAGCCTAAGGAAGGGCTATGAGTGCCAAGGGCTTGTGAGCTTGTCTGTGGCCTGCAGTTGTGCGTGGAATAGTTTGCAGTGAGGTGTTGGCCTGGTGCCGAGAGGCCTGGACTTGCTATGCCCAGGGGAGCACCGTGGCATGTTCTAGGAGCCCTGAGAGGTGAGATCTGTTCAACTCTCAGGGAGCTTGTAGAGGTCACATGTGGGTCAGGATGAGTCTCCTCGGGATCTGCAGGGACCCAGCCCCACTTCAGCCCTGCTGTCGGAGGAAGAGGGCAGTATCAATTCTGGATTCCTGGGGGGCGGGCTGAATACTGCAGCTGTGGGAGGAAAAAGAGCCTGGCTGGCCTCTGGATGACTGTGACCCTGACTGTGACTGGCCGGACATTGTAGCTATCCCGACTGTGGGACCCTTGCCCCCTAGGACAGTGCAGTCCCAAGCCATCAGCCTGGCCAAGTGCACACAGTTCTGAGTCAGAGCTGGTCAGAGCTTCATACTGTTTCCACCTCAGGACTCCTCCTGGAAGGCAATGGAATCCGGAAATCTGGACTGAGCTGGCAAGAGGAGGCCATGTCCCTAAAGAGAGTGTCAGACGGCCCACTGTCTGGGCTGGGGGTGGATCTTCACCTACAGGGCTAATCCTGCTTTATGGTCTCTGTGTCACTCTGTGCTAAGACCCCAGTGGTGCTGCCTGCTAGTGTGAAGCCAGGGTCACCTTCACCAGCTACCCATGAGTCCTTGCTCAGCACTGGGAGCAGTAACCCATTAAGACCCATCTCCTGAGGAAAGAGGGATTCTGGGGAGTGACCAGGGCTGGCTGTGATGCTTTTGGTGCCCCCATTCCTGTGGAATATAACCCTAGGGAGGCCCAGCAACCTCTGTCTGACCCACCTCTGTCCCATCACCACGGATTGGAGGGGTTGGAGGGGCCGAAGGGGACAGCCTGGAGAAATCATCTCCTGCCTCTGCAGTGACCAGGCTCACAGTCCCTTCTGGTCAGAGTCAATCTGCCCTTCACATAGCCTTAGCCCCTCTTTCTCCAGACTGTATTGCTGAGAACATAAAGGGCACACTGAGACGTCAGGACCTTTGGTCTGTCCCAGGGTCTCTTGCTGCTCTATGTCTCTTACTGTCTAGACTCTACCAGGGGCTGCCTGAACAAACTATCCCCACTGTTGACAGCACTTGCTGACCAACTTCCATGGGACTAGTCCACACACTAGGGGAAGTTCCCACAGAGGGGCTGCAAGGTGAGACGAGAAGAAGTAGGCAATGCTTAGGAAAAGAAGGTGTGGGTGGTCAAGGGTGTCCCCTACTCACCTCCAGCCTAGACCCTGACAGGTCAAGGGGGTCACTGGGACTGGGGTGGAGAGGCCACTGTGGGATGGGGTAGAATGTAGAGGGAAGGTGGGTGGGTCTACACAACAGAGAACCTAAAGTTTGAATTGAAGGCAAGTCTTTCAAAGCAAGGAAGTAGCTAGAAATACTCAGGGGAAAGCCAGGAAGGGTGGACGCCGTGGGAGAAAGTTCCAGAATCTCTAACTATCTCTGCTTCCCATTTCCTCAAGCATGAATGAATGACCAAACCAGCTTGGCTTAAGCTGTGGGAGTAGGAAGTGGGAAGGTGCTTTTGAAAGAGTGTGTGGCTGGAAGGATGGGGCTAGGCCTCAGTACCAACCAGTGAGTGGGTGGGGCATGGCTGGGTTCATGACCTAACATTAAGGGGAACAAATAGCCATCAGTACTGCCTGCTATTAATTCTTTACAGTGGAACTGGGCTCTGGTTTCCAGATCAATACTAAGTAATTAAGAGAGAAAAATTATTAAATAAGACTCAGAGGTCCAAAGTTTGTGGCAGACAAGAGAGTTGGAAGACTCCACAAAGGACGTTGCCCTACAGGACGGGGACTGTGAAAGGCTGTGGTGAAGACTGGACTGAAAGCAGCTGTTTGGAGCCCAGGTGGGCAATGAGGAGGCTGAGTGGTTCCAGGGCCTCCTGGCAGGGCACTGCTGGGAGAAGGACAGAGGGAGGAGGAAGGAGACACAGGTTCAGAGGGAGGGGCTGAACTCCAGGGGTGGTGTAGGATGGGGCTCTAGCAAGGAGTCACCTTCTGACTTTATCCCCTCCTTATAGCATGCCAGGGGGTCTGAGAACTCTTGCTGCCCCAAGTTTAAGTGAAGATCCACTGTCCACCAGGCCGATGACAGTAAGGCTGGCTGGTGCTGTGGATCAGCATCTGCAGGATGCATGCACCCCTGAGCCCCTAAATGCCACTGCCAAGTGGGGCTACTGGGTGCAGACACAGCATCTGGTGGGGTAGAATAATCTCTATCTCAGTCTCTAACTCAGTGCCCAGATTGCACATGTACTGAGATAGGAAGGGCCCATGGTGTGGATAGAGCCACAGGCCTGCAACTTCCATGGGCATCTGTCTTTTTAGCCAGATCAGAGGCCTTGGTTCTTCTTGCTCCATCTAGGAAACCCAGGGTCTATGCTTTCCTGTCCTGTAAGGAGGCTCCTGCCTATAATAGTGTCTAGGTTCTGACCATAGGCTTTGGGTCCCTAGCCTGGCAGTTCCACAGCTTCTGCCTAGGACAGGCTCCTTGCATGCCATGGAAGTCCAGGAGCCAGGGACAGCTCCCTGTCCTACTCCCACTTTTGGGAGGAGGAGTAGAGCAGACTTTCAAGATAGCTTTGATGGCCCGAGGGCACCTTCAGAGCTGCTGCAGGAACCAAGAGTAAGGTATTGTCCTTTTGTCCCTCCATCAGTCATCAGAAGGTCCCCCAGAAGGGACAAGAACTCAGGGAGGCAACCCTGTGAGCTGGAGCATCTCTAGTGCGGAGGATCAAGAGTGACAGAGGCCTGCTCCATCTTACTACATCTCCATCCAGAGACAGAGACTGATGAGAGGGACTTATTAGAGATATTGGCATATACGGTTGCAGACACAGAGAAATCCCACCGTGAGTCCCACATGTGGTCTGGAGACCCAGACAACCAGCTACTGAGGTTCAGTCCAAATTCAAATGTCTTAGAACCAGCTGAGCCATGAACTAATACATGGTCCAAGGCTGAAGGCCTGTAGCCATGGGAAAGGGCAGTCAGTGAAAGTCCTGGATACTTGGCTCTCCCAGAGAGCCCAGAGTTCTGATGTTCATGGACAGAAGTATGCCAGAAGATGAGGCAAGGGGAGGGGACAGCTTCACCATTTTCCATCTGGGCTTTCAGCTGTTCAGATGATACTGCCCACATTGGGTGAGGTGGGTCTTCTCCATAGCCACCAATTCAAGTTTCAGTATCTTCCAGAAAAACCTGCAGAGACTGACTCAACAGCAATGCTTTTTCAGCTCTCTGGGCAGTCCATAACCCAAGTCAGGCTGACACCCTAAACTGCCACGTTCATCCACGTTAACAAGATGTATTCATAGTGGAATAGCTAGGGCCACATGACTAACAACATCTTCCTAAACCCAACTTTATCTCCCAGTAGACTACATGGCCATGGTTCTACATAACACGAGCCAACTGTGTGGTGTATCCCAAGCACCCCCTGAACCTTTCCCAGGGGAGAATGTGTAGTCCCTGGGTGATGTTTGCTCTCCCTTCAACATCCATAACTCAAAGGTCATGTGATTCATGAATAAGCTGGGGAAGAAACATGAAGGAAATAGACACTGATTCCTCATATATGAACTATATACCCACAGACACTTTTTTTTTTTTTTTTTTTTTTTTTGGTTTTTTCGAGACAGGGTTTCTCTGTGTAGCTTTGCGCCTTTCCTAAAGCTCACTTGGTAGCCCAGGCTGGCCTCGAACTCACAGAGATCCACCTGGCTCTGCCTCCCGAGTGCTGGGATTAAAGGCGTGCGCCACCAACGCCCGGCTACAGACACTTTCTTTAAAAGAAAAAAAAAAAAAGATTAATTTGCTGGGTGTGGTGGTATACAATTTTAATCCCAGAATTTAGGAGGCAGAGGCAGGTTCAAATACCTGTACCTGTCTGTAAAGGAACCTTGAATTTTTGTGAATTCAAGGCCAGCTGGGTCTACATAAGGAGTTCCAGGCTAGCCAGAGCTACACAGCAAGAAACCGTCTGGAGTTTTTTTTTTTTTTTTAATTTATTTTTATTTTATGTGTATGAGTGTTTTGCATATGTATATGCATGTGTACCACATGTGTGCAGTGCCCATGGAGGCCAGAAGAGGGTGTTGGATCCTCCGGAACTGAAGTTACAGGCAATCGTGAGCTGCCACGCTGGTACTGTGAACTATACCCAAGTCCTCTGCAAGAGCACCCAGTGCTGAGACATCTCTCCAGACACATTATTAAAAGAGGAAGTACTGTGGCCACTGCAATCTTTGCGGCTGTTTCTGGTCACGTCACCATAGCTAGCATTTGGAAATGCTTTCTTCCACCACAAATTCTGCAGCCCATTTGTCCTTGCCTGCTTTTGGTTCTTAGCTGGCAGGTGACCCGCACTTTTCCCTGGTCTGTGAGCCCTTGTGGTCCCATTGACGTTATCCAGGTGACACTAGGGGCACCCTAAGGGAGCCCTGAACTGCAGATCTCTCCTGGTAGTTATGGTAGTTATGACATCCCACCAATCCCTAACTCCTCCTCAGCCCAAGGAACTCAGATTCACTATGAGGGGTGGGGGTGAGGTGGCTGGGGGGTCTCAGCATCCAGTTCAGGGCAGTGTTTGTTGTACCTCCTTGCAAAAGTGCTCCTTATTCTGGAACCAAGATTTTCTAGGCCAGCAGAGCATAAGGTTGTGCAAACAGGACCTCCAGGGGTGGTGATTAGCGGTTCCATTCTCATACCCCTTGATTTCTGGACCCATGAGTCGTGACTATGGGAGAAACAGTACTGGACACGGGACACTGAGTCAAAGAACATTCAGCCCTCTGGTGAATTCTGCCTCAGCTCTATTAGGCACTGCCACCCCAGTTGGTGCTGTATCTTATCTTCAAGCTATAAGCCGGCTGCTTCAGATTGATGGAGACACAGTTAGACTTGTGAATTACATGGATGTAGCCTCATGCCATGCTTGACTTGTTGGCAGGTGTGTTTTCTTTCCCAGAGGTAATGCAGTGTCCTTGAGGTTGAAATGTCTGACTGCAAGCAAGATGCTTTATACCAGCTTTTGGGAGGTGACTCATTTATAGGAGGGCAGAGCTCTAACAAATGGGATCCATATTCTTTTAGGAGTGAGGGTTGTGTCCACTCGTTCCTCCATGCTAGGACACAGTAGGGAGGTACCATCTGGGAGGAATAGGTCTTCCCCAGACAACTTGATCTTCAACTTCTCATCCTTTAGAAGCCTGAGAGACAAATTTCTGTTGTTTGGGGGTTACCAGCCTAGTGCTGGGGAGACAGTTCAGTTGGTAGTGCTTGCTTTGAAAGCATGAGGTCTTGAAGTCATTCCCTAGAAGCCACATTAAAAAGCCTGGTATGCTGGTGTCTGCTTATAATCCCAGTGCTGAAGAGGCAGAATTGAGGGTGGGGGTGTCACTGGGGTTCACTGGCCAGCCAGATTAGCTGTAGTGGTTTAAATGAGAAATGTCCTTTACAGGTGCAGGTATTTGGACACTTGGTCCCCAGTTGGTGCTGTTTGGAGGACAGCCTTGTTAGAGGGGCAGATAGGCTTTGAAGGTTTACAGCCTTGCTTACTTCCAGCTCACCCTCTCTGCATTGTGCTTACAGTTGAAGATCTGATCTCTCCATGTCTGCCGCTTGTTGCTATGCCTTCCTGCTGTGCTGGACTCTCAGCCCCGTGGAACTGTGGCCTCGTGGAGAGTGCCCTTTGACCAGTTGGCAGGATAAGAGATGACCTGTGTCTGGCTTACCAAGGTGTGATGGCTAATTTTATGTCAACTTGACACAGACTAGAGTCATTTTGGAAGAGGGAACTTCATTTAAGAAAATGCCCCCATCAGATTGGCCTGTAGAAAAGCCATGATTGATTGATGATTGATGGGGTGGGCCCATCCCACAGTCAAGAAAATGCACTATGGACTTTTCTACAGGCCAATCTGATGGGAGCATTTTCTTAAATGAAGTTCCCTCTTCCAAAATGACCCCAGCCTGTGTCAAGTTGACACAAAATTAGCCATCACACCTTGGTAAGCCAGACACAGGTCATCTCTTATCCTGCCAACTGGTCAAAGGGCACTCTCCATGAAGCCACAGTTATCAACTTGGAGGAGCAAACAGCAGTGGCATCTGGGTCACTTCCTCCTGGTACTTACTCTGTGCCTTCAAGGCTGTCTTAAACCCAATCAGATAGTTCACTTTTATCTGATGATGGATTGCTGCTGGACACACCCAGCTTTATGACACGTGGTTCATGATGGGCAGCTTAGGATGCACAGTAATATGTGAGACATGTTTCTATGAATACCCAGTAGCAGCCAAGAACAGACTCTCATTAGGGAAGTGGTTGTTGCAAATTAGGGCAGGGCCTCACTCCACAATCTGCTAGGGCGGTCTGCTGCAATTTCCCTATGGGGTCAAACCAAAGTTCTGTCAATCCAATCCCAGCGCCTCTTCTGTGGGGGTCAAAGAACCCTCATGGAAGAACATCGGAACCTCTTCCTGTTGGGGGCCATTTGCATAGTTTAGAAAATGCCTGAGCAACACACCCAAGTGAGGAATACGGATAGGTCCATGAGAGGCTGTGCTTTTTTTGGTTGGTGCTGGGGCTTATGTGCAATAACTTATTTTTCCCTGGAAGAGATGTTTTGACATGCCTAAATATCTTATGTTGAAATTCATTTGAATTAACTTCCCTCCCTGACACACCAGTGTCTTTCCAAGAAGTCAGTAGTTGCTACTTCTGAATGGCTTGATTCGGTTGACGTGACATCCGTGCAACAGGCCAGCGGTGAGGAGGAACAGGAAGGTCGTTAAGTTTCTTGTGAAACCAAACCGTGAACCAAGGCTGGAGAGCAGACCCTTTGAGGAAGGATGGGAAAGGCGCCCTTACCAGATGAAAGCACACTGACTCTGATGGGCCTTATGGAGAGGCAAGGGTAGGAAAGAGGCGTTGCCAGTCATTGTCTACACACTAGCCACCAGGGCGCGTGTTCATGCACCCAGGCTGGGAAGCAGTATCTAGTAGGGAATCTATGATGGGAGTTACTACCTGAGTAAAGCTGTGACAGATCCCACTGTCCCCTCTAGGTCCTCCTGTCAACTTCTCAGGCCAGGAGGAGAGTTGAGTGTGTGTGTGGGGGGGGGGGGGGGGGGGGGGGGGGGGGGGGTGGGGTGGAAGTCACTACTCTTGTTTTTTTAAAAAAATACATTTCTTTATTTATCGTGGGCTGGAGTGGTGGGTACATATGCCGTGGAGCACATGTGAGGGCCAGAGGGCAGCTCGTGGGAGTTGGTTCTCTCCTTCCACCATACAGGTCCTGGGGTGGAACTCAGGTTATGAAGCTTGGCGGCAGGTGCCTCAACCCACTGAGCTATCTTGCCAGCCCCATTTTTGCTTTTCTGAGATAGAGTCTTACTCTGTAGCCTAGGCTGGCCTGGAACTTGCTATGTAGATCAGGCTGACCTTGAGCTTATGGTGATCCTCCTGCCTCTGCCTCCTGAGTGTCTGGCTTATAGCCATGTACCACGGTGTCCGTCTCACCCTGCATTGTTCAATTCCAATCACTGCATGGCGTCCGCAGTCCCCCGAGGGGTGTCACTATACTCACCTCACTGGTTTCCCCGCTGGAAGTAGCTCTAGTCTAGTTGCTCTTTGTTACCATAGCAACCCGTATTGCACAGGTCAGGGAGCCAGCTGAAGGATCCCGCCACTGGCTAAGTATGTCTGTTCCTTTTTTTCTTTTCTAGATCCAGGGAAATAATCATAGAATGGAATTGGGGACCTATGGGCTCACAGTGAGATGGACCAGACTGGACACTCTGTGGATCTTCTTACCTGTAAGTCCTGAATGACTGTGGGGCCACCCTGAGGATCTAGTCTTCTGAGATCAGTGTCAATCTAGACCCAATTCTGAGTCAGCCCTGAACTCACTGCTTATATCCTCTTCTCCAGGGCAGTGTCTCTGAGAAAGGACCTTGGGTCCACTTGGGGGAAGGTGTATGGAAAGGCCAACAAGAAGTCTTATGGGTATTATGCCCAGGATTTCTCCTGCAGTGGGCCAGGCCTCCCCTTCATGAAGAAGCTCAGACCCATAAACTGGCTCAGGTCTGGGGATTGCTGGAGTCTGTGACCTTTGTTTTTTATGACTCAAGTTTCACTTTTGCTCATGGATCCTGGAAGTTTTCCATAGAAAGATCAAGCAAGAAGTTAGCAGACATTCTGTTTCCCCGAAGGAACACCATGATCAATCAGCCAGCACCACAGGTCTGCCGGGCCAGACTGCTCAGACTGTGGGGCTTTGCCTCTGCTCTCCACTATAGTAACTTCAGCCACTGTGCCCATGCCCTCTGAATGCCCCACATGGCCCATGCCACCCTGGGATCCAATGACTGCCACTGAATTTGAGCTTTCCACTTGACTAGCTTTGGTTCCCACTGCAAAGTACAGTCTTCAGGGATGAGCAATCACAGAACAGTGGAAGGATACTGCCACCCCTCACCCCACGCCCCGAGTATATTTCTCATAGTCATGGTGAAGGTCAACCTTCTGAACCTTTCCGGTGTGGGTAAACAAGTTTAACAAGTTGAATCCAACCTAGAATACTCAATTCCCTGTGTCTTTCATTCATCCCTCTACATAAAACCATTGAAAATCTCCTATTTCTGATTCCTTCACTGTGGGCCACCATGTAACACACACACACACACACACACACACACACACACACACACACACACACACACAAAAATCAATCAAACTAATTAACTAACTAACTAACAACTAACTAGTCTTTTTGTTTTGTTTTGTTTTGTTTGAGACAGGGTTCACTAAACAGTTCTGACTGACCTTGGTTTGTAGATCAGGATGGCCTTAAATTTAGAGATCTGCCTGCCCCTGTCTCTCAAGTGCTGGGGTTAAAGGAGTGTACCACCATGTGATTTAATCCTTGTGATTCCTGGAGCTGCATCATTAGACACAATCTGTGTTCAGTGCTCCCATACATCAGATACATCTGTCCTGATCCAACTTTATGTTTGACCCTGTCCTACGTTGCTGTCTCATTTGATGTCTATTACCATGAGTTCAAATGATTTCCTTTTCACTATGTTTCTGTCTGTATAAAATGGAGAACTCAAGCAGTCCTTCTAAAGTGTAGTGCATAGCCTTGGGGTCACACACTGTTCTGCACGGAGACACATGTCTACTTAGGAGTATGGAAACAAATGTGCTGGTTAGTTTTCATTGTCAACTTGACACAAACCTGGAGTCACCAGTGAAAAGGGAGCCTCAATTAAAGAATTGCCTCAAACAGATTGACCTATGACCATATCTGTGAGAGACTGTCTTGACTGATAATTTATTGGGAGGGCCCAGTCCACTGTGTGTGTCACCATCTCTAGACTGGGGGGCCTGGGCTGCTTAAGAAAGTTAGTTGAGCATAAACAAGAGATCAGGCCAATAAACAGCATCCCTACATGGCTCCTCACTCCTTGTTTCTACCTTGAGCTCTTGCCCTGACTTCCCTCAGTGATAGGCTATTACCTGCAAATGTAAGCCAAATAAATCCTTTCTTCCCCAAGTTGCTTTTGGTTATGGTGATTATCATAGCAACAGAAGAGCGAAGTAGGACACATAGGGAGGGTGGTGATGGAAGGGGCCAGTATTGTCCTGCCTGGTAGCTGCCTTGGGAAAGGTCATTGCTGTTTCCTTGGGCCTTACAGACTTCCCTCCAGTGGACAGGGAGACCCCATCTATGGGGGCAGGAACCACTTCTTTGATTTAAAAAAATTATTTTATTTTTAATTGTGTGTATATATGTGAGCATATGCTGAATATGTATGTGTGTTGTGGGGGGGAGTGTACCCATAAAGGCCAGAGATATCAGATCCCCTAGAGCTAGAGTTATAGGTAGTAGTGACATCAGTTGTGTGTGCTAGTAGTTGGACTCAAGTCCTCTGGAAGAGCAATATGTACTCTTAACCGCTGTTAAGAGTTATGGCCATCTCTCCTGCCCATGAGAACCACACCTGCTGACAAGAAAGGTTCATCAGAACACAGGGTGGTGTTGTCCTCAGCTTTATGAGGGTCTTCCCACATGACCCTATTCCAGCTTTCAGGATCCATTCTTTCCCAGCCAGTGTCCTCATTTCAACAGTAGATTTACCTTGCCTTGTGATCCAGTGAGTCTAGAATGAGGTTCTATATTTGACTTTTAGCACATTCGTCCCTGCATCTCTAGGAGACAAGACTACCCTTCACAACCCAGGGGCTTGTAGATCATCTGTGTGATGTTTGATAGGAAATGCAAACCCTGAGCTCATCCTTTTTGTCATCTGGTCCAGAAATATTAGGAGCAAAGGGCTGATGTCTTAGCTTTAAAAAAATTTTCAGAAGTATCATATGCAGAGTTACTTAGCTCCTGACTTCTTAGTACTAGTAATAGAGTTATTAGTGGTTTTAAATCTAAAGAGACTAGACTGTCAATTTCAGAAAACACTCTTGATACTAAAATCTGTATTAGTCAGCATTTTCTGGATAATGTGTATGTATATTTAATAAGTTAAACATAACTACATTTTGTCCATCCATTCATCTATCCATCCATCTAGGATGTGTAATGTTATCAGGATCTAGAATCACCTAGGAGACAAGCCCCTGGACACACTAATGAGGGATTATATAGATTAATTGAGATGGGAAGACCTGCCCACTGTGGGTGACACCATTCCCTTGGCTGGCACCTGGGACTGTATGAAGAAGAGAAAGTGAGCTGAGCATAGATATTTATTGCTCTGAGACACAACATGGCCAGGTGCTTTAGGCCCCTGCTGCCTAGACTTCCCTGCCATTATGTATATTGTACTTTGAACTATAAGTCAGAATAAATCCTACCTTCCTAAAGTTTCTTTTGTCAGGGCATTTCATCATAGCAACAGAAAAGTAACTAAGATACTATCTATCATCTCTATCAGTCTATCTATCTATCTATCTATCTATCTATCATCTATCTACCTACCTACCTACCTACCTACCTACCTACCTACCTACCTACTTATCTATCTATCATCTAAAATGAAAATCCAATTCACGCAGTTTAGGAAGTCTCACACTTCTTGTCTGTATCTGGAAACAAAGGAAGTCAGTGGTGTGATTCAGTCCACAGGCAGATGCCTGAGATTTAAGAGGGCTGGTGGTGTGAATCTTGTCTGAGGGTAGGAGAAGTCCAATGTCTCAGCTCCAGTGATGAGGCAGGAAAAAGGAGGCAGATTAATTTCACCTTTTCTACTCTGGATCTCAGTGGCCTGGAAAAGTCACCCACCTTCTATTTCTCTTTGCTGTTTGCTCCTAGAAGCACCCTCAAAGATGCACATTCAGAGGCAGCGTTTGATCTGAACACCTTGGGTCAGTCAAGTTGACATATCAAAGCCACCATCACGCTGTGCTAAACCCTGGCCTCTAATGTGGTTTAGTGTCTTCCTTCATCACAACCTGTACCAGCAGGTTAGGGATCTCTAAACTCACAGTGGTGGGGAAAAGCAGACCTGGGCACAGTTGTAGGCCACTCCTCCTGTACCAGCCCAGTGTGTGATAGATAATCTTTATTTTCAATTTGCCAGGCTCTCAATCACCTAGGAGATACACTTGTGTGCGTGTCTGTGAGGAAAAAGTGATCCTCGTTTCATAATAAGAGTACTGGAGACTCGGAGTAGCAAGAACTCAGCAGTTTATCTTAGCTCTTCAGCAGTTGGACACCAGCCTGGAATGGCAGGCATACTGACTGAAGGCAGAGAACATTTTCTAAACCAACAGACCTTCCTCCCTTTTATGAATAACTGGGAAGGTAGGAGTTTACATGTTATTTAGGTCTTATCTTCCTTCTGTGGCTTTTCTCAACAAAAACCTTGTGTGGGCTCATTCTGTGTTTGACACCTTGTTTTTTTGTAATGCTTATCAGATGCACCATCTTGCAGAGAAGCTTGGCTGTCAGTAGTTGTCTACTCTTAAACTTTTAGATGGTGTGTAGCTTAGGAGAGTTTGGATATATTGGGTCATGAGAGAGAATAGCTAGACTAGCAGGTATCAGCAGGAGTCTATTGTTTTCTGTTCATTGGTAACTGGACTTGAGCTTGCTCAGGGCCCATTTGGAAATGAACTACCAGATTTTATTTCTGACAGGTGTTTCCAGAGAGGTCTAACCCGGCAGGAGTGAGAACCTTCCAGCAGGTGAGCCAGTACAAAAAAGCCTAAAGAAAAAGCGGTGTTGGCTGCCTGCCTTCCCTTGGTCTGGAGCCAGTGCTTGGCTCTGCTGCCACTGTCCTTCTCTGACGTCAGACTCAAGCTTCTTCAGCCTTCTTCCAACACGAACTGAACACTAGTGACTCTCCAGGAATCTTCCAGACCTTCGGCACCAGGTTGGGACTGCTGAGGTGATCAACTTTGTGGACTAAACAGCATCTCTAGTGTCGTGTAAGTCAATTTAACAAATCCCCCTTTATAATACATGTTTCTTCTATTAGTTCTGTCTCTAAAGAACTCCATCTAATCCAGATTGTGGTGCCAGTAGCAGGTTCTAGAGAGGCAGAATTCTAAGGATGAATTTCTCTAGTGGGCTTGATGGTATCTGGAGCTGGCTCTCCAATTCATCTACACCTAGAATGGCTAAAGACTCTGCACTGATCTGGTAATGTAGAGAGAACATTACTGTTCCATCTTGTGAATTAAAGAACTGTACAGCATGTATGCATTCTCACACACACACACACACACACACACACACACACACACACACACGTAAATAAATAAATGAATGTAATTTTAAAATGAAAATAAGAGGAAAGAGAATGGCCCTTCCAAGAATGGAAGTGGGCTGAGAGCTGGGAAAAGCTAGAAGCTCTGATGGCGCTCAGCCAGGACAGTCATGCGCTTCGGTGGGTCATTTATAGAGCAGCTACATGCTCCACATTTGGAGCATTTGAGGGCAGGAGCTTTATTCAGGTGGAGTCTGTCCCTTATATGCTGCCCCTAGTTGGACCTTTCCAGTCTTCCTCTACCACTGGTTTCTTTCATATGTTAATTTTCATCCTCTTCTTCCCCACCATCCTGTGCTAACAGACAGCAGAGGCCAAGCAGTGTCCATTATGGTTCAGCTGGGATAGCTCAGTGGTGTGGGTTCCCAAAAGAGCAATAGATGGGGGAGGGGGCTTAGGAAACACCCACTCCATCTGTATAAGCAAATTCCAGAGCAAGTGAAACATTTGCCTTGAAGGACTGGAGAGCCAGCTCAGCATTTAAGAGCACTGGCTGCTCTTGCAGAGGGCCTGGGTTCAATTCCTGGCACCTACATGGCAGCTCACAGCCATCTGTAGTGACTCTAGTCCTAGGGGCTTCAATATCCCCTGTAGGCCTCTGCAGGCACCAGACATGCAAATGGTATACAGACATGCATGCGGGCATAACACTCATACATACAAAATAAATTTTTAAAAAAATTAAGAAGTTTGCTTTGAAGTGTAGCGACAGAGAATCACAGTTCCTCAACAAATTCCCAGACAAGCCCGGAATCTCTTGAATGAAAGAGAAGCAGGTCCACTCAGGAAGGACCACATTACACTACCAAAAAGTTTTACAGTCAATCAGTCTTTCTCCAAAGGAACTCATAGGCCTTGATGAGGGTAAATGTACATCCAGGAAAAGGAAATAACCAGATTTTTCAGGGCCTACAGATACTGACTGTGACCTGACACTGATTCTGGGAAACCCCCTCCAAAGCATTGTGGACCTCCAGTTAAGTAAGGGCTTATGGAGGTTGGGCAATTGATGGAGTGTCAGCCAAAGTCTGACTCACAGTGGCTCCATTGGGCCCACAAACTCACCCCAGTGGGACAGATATACTTAGAGGTTGGCAGAATCCCAATACTGGTTGTCAGACCTGTGGAATGAGGGCTATTATGATCTGAAAGGCCAAATGGAAGCCATTAGTTGCCTCTAATAGTAAAGGTAAAATAGTGAAAAAAAAGAAAATCCCCTGGAGAGATTACAGAAATTAATGCCACCATTAAGGCCTTGCAAGATGCTGGGGGTGGAGTGGGATGGGGGATGGCTCAGTGGTTAAGAGCACTTGGCTGCTCTGGCATAGGACTCAGGTTTGATTCACAGCACCCACTTGGTGGTAATTCTAGTTCCTGGAGATGTGATGCCCGCCCTATTCTGGCATCCAAGGGCACTACACACATGTGGTTCATAGATAAACTTGTAGGCAAAACACCTATACTAACATTTTTTTTTTTAAATGAGAGGGCTAGAGAGATGGCTTAGAGGTCAAGAGCACTGGCTGCTTTTTCAGAGGACCGTATTCAATTCCTAACACTCACATGGCAGCTCACAACTGTCTGTAACTCCAGTACCAGGGGATCTAATGCCCTCTTTACATGGGTACCAGGCATCACACATGTGGTGCACAGACATACATGCAGGCAAAACATTCATAAACAAAGTAGTACAATACATAAATAAAGCTGGAAAGATTGGAAAGATGCAGGGGTGTTGGTTCCTACCACATTTCCTTTTAATTCTCCCTTTTAGCCTGTGCAAGAGACAGATGGATCATGGAGAATGGCAGTTGACTATGACAAACGTAAGTAGAGACTCCAATCACAGATGCAGTGCCAGATGCAGCTTCCTTACTTGAGCAGATTAATACATCTCCTGGTACCCAGTATTCAGCTATTGGTCTGGCAAGTTCTTTTTTCTCTAGAAACCTGTGCATAAGGACCACCAGAAGCAGTTTGCTTCCAGCTGGCAAGGCCAGCAGTATACCTTTACAGTTTACCTCAAGGGCATATTAACACCCAGCCCTGTGTCATAGTTTAGTTTGCAGGGAACCTGATATACAAGGGATCACATTGGCCCATTACATTGATGACATTATGCTGATAGGACTTGGACTTGTTAGTAAAACATTTTGGATTTGGGAGGCAGCAAGCTCCTTACTTGGGTGTGTCACTTCAGCCCATACACCAAATAAACTCAGAAGGCTCTAGTTTTGAGTGGGACCCCACTGCTGTGTGGGCTCCTCTGTTGCTTGGATCATATGATCCAGCAGACTTGAAGGTCACTTAATGTGGCAGTGGCAGATAGGATGCTGTTTGGAGTCTTTCGTAGGTCCTTATAGGTGACCACAGTGGAGCCCCTTGGAGTGGAGCCTTACCATCATCTATAGACAATTGTTCTCCCTTTGAGAGACAAACCTTGACGTGTTATTGGGCCTTAGTAGAAACTTAACATTTAACAATAGGATGTCAAGGTCTGTATTGCTCATGGCATAGTCTTCAGCCCTGAATGGGATGTCATTAATCCCCTCCACCAAAGGCTGGGAAATGTTTGTAGAAGAGGTGACCGAAAGATTTTAAGATCCGGAGGTGATGGATGACTCCAAGGAAACAGTGTCTTCCAGACACAACAGTATGGATGTCACAGGCACTGTGATATCACACACAAGATCTACCACAGGTTCAAATCAGACAATATTCCAGCACTGAGAAGGGGAAGTGGACACAAAGTTCCATCCCTAACCAAGAAGCTATTGGTGATTGATATATGCTGAGAAAGGGAAAATTACTTTTCTCCAATGGAGTGTCACTAGATATTATCAGCCACACTCCAGGGGAGACCCATGCCCAGGAGTAGTTGGCCAACTCAAATAAGACTCTGTGTTTTTGGTTCTTTGTTGTTTTGTTCTATCATGAGCAAACTGGATGTTAATGATCCGAGAACTGACCTGAAGAAGCAGTTGTAATACTAAAATCCAAGAGACAGTGTTGAAGGACATGGGAGGATACAGTTCTGGGCAGAGACTGAACGGACATGGGGGATGTGAGAGAGGCCCAGCCAAGGGCTTCTTGGAAAAGATGAAAAGTCTGGCAAAGCAGATCATGAAAACCAAAAATGATGCTGGCAAAGGACAAGGGGACAAATCGATACGTGGGGTGGGGAGAAGTTGAGTAGTGTAGAGAACTAGCAGTTTCTTAGGAATGAATCTAAATGCAGAGCTGCCACACAGCCAGCAAGTGCCGTCTCTGTGTTTGTCCCAAAGAAATGAAAATCCACGCCCACTCAAATGCATGTTTACACATGGAGAGTCAGGCTCTCCTCTTGATCTCTCCCTACCACCCCTCCCCCAGCCAGAGACTTACCCTATATCCCAGACTCTCTTTGGACACAGTACATAATCATGTTGGTCTCAAACTCATGGGAAAACTCCTGCCTCAGCCTCCTGAGTGCTGGGATTATAAGTGTGAGCACAGAGCAGCTGTTTATTTAGAAATTTTTTTTTGAGAATGTCATACATGAGTACTCTATTTACATTATTTTCACCTCTCCATCTCCAACTCCTTCCATATCCCAACCCACTCCCTCTCAAATTCATGACCTCTTCTTTAATAATTATTGTTTTATATGTGTGCATAAGTGTACATATATGTTTAAGTAAACAAAATAATATTTTTCTCTATTACTTTTTCAAACATTCTTTTTTCATAATAGCCCCAAGTATAATAGATGAAAATGTGCCTTGAAAAGTGAGTGGTTAGCTAGGTGTAATGGATGTTATCCCAGAACTTTGTGGGTAGAGGCAGGAGGGTCAGTTCAAAGTTATCCTCAGCTACAGAGGGAGTTCAAGACTAGCGTAGGCTACATGAGACCCTGTCTCACTCTTTCCCAAAGGAAGATGGAGAATGTAGAGATGAGGAGCAGGTCAGTGGTTGTGTGGTCATCTGTGGAGGTGTTGTATGTGGACCTGTGACTTTGAGAAGCATCAGGAATGCAGTGATGATAAAGTTCTGATTACTGCAGTGGTAGTTATATGAAGCCACACACACACACACACACACACACACACACACACACACACACACACGTAGTACACACATGCATGCATACATATACACACATGTACAGTCACATTTGCACATGTGAGTACAGGTGCATCTGGTGAAGTCTAAATTATCTATGTGTATTGAACAGGTGACGATTCTGCTTGTTATCATGGTATTTATGCAGATGTCTGCTCTGGGGAAGGCCTGAAGGAATAATGCACCAAGGCTTCCTGTGTACCTCTTGGGAATCTATAATTGTCTCAAAGTATAGTGTTCAAACAGATTTCAGGCCATGAACATTGAAAATGTCAACCAAATCAAAACATTACTAGAAAAATTTGTAAATGGACAAAGTTGGCTAAAAATAGATAAAATGGGGCTGAAGAGATGGCTCAGTGGTTAAGAGCACTTGCAGCTCTTACAGAGGACCAGAATTCAGTAGTTCCCAGCACCCAGTGGGGGGCATCTCACAACTACCCGTAGCTCCAGCTCTGGGAGATCTAATACCTATGGCCACCCTTGGGGGGGGGGCAGGCTGTGAGGTTTATAGGCTGCTGTTTCCTGTGTTGTCTCTGCTTCCTGGTCCATGAAGATGTGAACAAGTAGCCACCATGCTCCCCACTGCAGTGAAGCCACTGCTACACCTCCCCCAACACCACTCCTTCCCCATCTTGATGGACTATGCCATCGTAGTCCATGAGCCAGGACAAACCCTTCCTCCCTTACTGCTTCTTCTCAAGCACATGATCACGGCACCAAGAAAAGGAGCCAACAGAGGGGACATAAACATTTACACAGGAAATGGAAACATCTAGCTGACCCCTGGTGACCTTAGCAGATACAAGGTGCCTGGGTATGGGCTGTAAGGGTGTGGTCTCATCCAGGAGGACCTCCCAACTCCCATCCTGTGACAAGGAAATAGGAAGAGGAGGAGTGTAGAGGACAGCCAGGACTGGGGTTTCCAGCTGCTGAGCCAGGCTCCTGCAGCAAGGCAGTGGCTAGGGGACCAGGTTTTGAGAGTGGGTGGGAGAGGAAACTGGAGTAAACGTTAGACCGAGGAGGCGTGCTCAGAGTGAAGCTTGGTTGGGTCTGGGCTTGAGCAAATCAGCAGCAGGAGCCATCTGGGGACATGGGAAAACTGAATTTGGGTTATGTTTTCAATGTGACTAGAGAGTTATTATGAACACAGCAGATGTGACAGTGATGGATTGCAGTTCTTGGGAGTACACCCACCATATTTGGAGGTGAGTGCTGAATTTGCTAAACTAACATACCTGTGGAACACTGTGTTTACAATTCACTTTAATTCTAAACGTTTAATTGCCATTACATTTAGGAACACAGACACAGATGCAGATGCACACACATTCACACGAGAGAGAGAGAGAGAGAGAGAGAGAGAGAGAGAGAGAGAGAGAGAGAGAGAGAGAGAGAGAGAAATACACACATGGTTTCTTGCAGGGCTTGGTCCCTTTCACAGTATGCCGACAAATACAGCCTCTGCATATTAGGCCAGCAGCAGACTGGAAGCTCAAGCGGGGTTGTCATGGCTCGGTCTGAGGCCATATTGCCTCTCTGGGAAGTGGGAGTCTCTGCTCTTTAGGCTTGCACTTACTGGACAAGACTCCACCTCATGGGGCCACCTGATGTCCTAGTTTGTCTCTATTGCTGTGATAAACACTGCGACCAAAAGCAACGTAGGGAACAAAGGATTTATTTCACCTTACAGATTCTAAGTCCATCACTGAAGGAAGCCAGGGCAGAAACCTTAGTGCAGGAACTGAAGAAGAGGCCATGGAGGAACACCACTTACTGGCTTGTTCTTTATGGCTTAGACAGCCTGCTTTCTTTCTCTCTTTCTTTCTCTCTCTCTCTCTCTCTCTCTCTCTCTCTCTCTCTCTCTCT